GGCTAGGAAATCTCACGCACTATCCCACAACGACAATACTCATAAGAAGTTATAATTATTTAATTTCACATCCCTTTGAATTGTTATCTTCACGTGATTAAATATACAAATGACTGATGATTTAAAAAAGTATATATTATTTTTATACTTTGTATCATGGAGACAATTTTTAATTTTTTAAAATATATACTTTATACCGTAGTAGAAGTAAATTAATTGTTACTTTGTTAAAAAACATATCTACAAACCACGTTAACGGTAGCAATTTTTATAATTAATTTCTTTACACACCAGTCACTTCTTTAAATTTTTAAATCATAGCAGAGCAATAAAAATTGTAAATATTTAAACAGGTATGTTTGTTTAATTGATTCTTCAATATTATTTTACTACTAACTTTATTATTTTATATTTACTTTCTCTATGACAATTTGTATTTCAATTATAACTACACTTTCATACATAAATTTACCAAACTTTAACTGACACGAATTCAATTATATTAGCAAAATAACTCATATTAACTATGAGGATATTCTTGATGGTGCTTGAGAATATAAGTGACATTACTTTTTTATTGATGCCCTTCCCTGCATAATATTTTGAAAATTTGTGAATTGATTATTAATATTATTAATTAATAAAATATTAACCTGATATTAATAGAAACACCATTCAACACTTCTTATTCATCAATAGTATCGAAGAACTTTGCTATGTTGAAAGAAGCGAACATACACGTATATTCAATCCTATCAATTAACAATTTAGACCAACAACTTGTGACCTTCCGTCTGATGCCGCAAAATTTTAAGTTCTCCCGATGGCTCATGTATTGTAGCATTCGTAAGAGAAAATTCAGGACCTAAAACACCTTACGTTGATTATAATACTGATAGTGAATATACCGATAGCGAAGATGATGGCACGGTTGCGCTTGCTAACAAAGCTAAAGAAATATGTAGTGCTTATGTTTATTTTTTTCAATGATTGGATACTCCAACTATAAAGGTAATTAAGATTTTTCATATCCTCTTTAGCTTATATAAGTTACATAAAAAAATAAACTAACTCTCTCGTTTTGAATAGTTATTAACTTGCCGCCTACTCTTCAATCCTTGGTGTTCCTATAATTTAGTTGTATAAATAGACTACAAACCCACTCGATGTCACTTGTTTTAAAAATGGACGTTTCAGCTCATCAATAGTTATAATTACGCTCGAAAAACTCAATATCGTTTTCAAAAGCAAAAACAAACACTCGTTAATTGATTCTCATAACAATTATGCTCATATTGAAGGAAGGAATACTCATTTTCAATCTGATCAAAAGTTCAAAAAGGAGAATATATTGTGTTAATGGGTGAAAGATTAAAGGTGATTGTATTTTGGATACAATGTTAAGAGTTACCAGCATTTTAAACCTATGTGCAAATTTAATAGTTGGACTGAATTCCGTATTGAACCTAAAATGTCTCATCGATGCCTATAGATTGATGTTGAGAAATATCCTGTTGATCCCAAGCAAGATCGTTTTATCAATTTGAAAAATCGTTCTCGATATTGAGGATGAAGAAGTCGAAAATTATTGCGAGAAATTTGAGAGTTACATTACAGAAACTTTTGAAAGTTTGAAACGTACTACAAAAAAACCTACCTCAACATTAAAAATATTTTCCACACCTGTCATAACTTTCTAAGAGCTTAATATTGAGCATTTTACGAGATATTCATCAAATTACAAATTAGGAGAATGGATCATTCAACTTAGTTGTTTAACTCCTATACAATTGTGATAGAACGAAATAATTTAATTCAACCTCTTAGGGATAGATTGTCTTCAAATGATATGGAACATGATAATGGTTCTGGTCATCATGTGGATAGCATAGCAAAGAATATTTCTTTTGGATGGCATGAAGGGATATTTAAGTATTAAAAAGTAAAAGTTGTTTCTAGTATAGGTAAACAATCGTGCGGAAAATCCTTTGATGACTCCACAATGGTAATTAATAATATCTCCCTGTTCCTTACTTTGACCACCATCCAATACTGTGAGATTAGGATCTAAAGAACGATATGCTAGATCAGATAATAAATGATCAAGAGAACCCTGAGAAGCTACTAGTGCCAAATTTAAAAATAAAAATAGACAAGTTGGTTTACATAGTCAAATCAAAACTCTGTGATTCTTGTTGAAGCTGTGTTTGAGAACGTCAAACTTTGAATGCTAAAACATTTACGAGTTCATTTACATTAGGAATAATGGATTCAGAAGGTATCAAATGTTTGTCCAATGCCTCAATATTTTGTTGTAATTCTGTACTCATCATTTTAATAATGATAATCCCAACCATACAAACAGAACAACGCTCAGATGTTCGATCACATTTATTTTGATATTATCTGATAGAGAATGTTCTAAATTATCAACTTATTTACTTCACAAATCTTTCTTATAATGGAACCATTAGATACTGTAAGAATTTGCCCAATTGCACTATTCATGCTAGAACGAATTCGAGATATAATCTTGACGGAAGTGGTACCCCTCTCCCAATATCACTTGAAATGCCACCTCTATGAGAAGGTGACTGAAGCCTATAATAATATTAATATGTTGTGCCGCTAATAAAGAAGGTGGTCCATTTATAGGTATTTTCGATGCATTAGGATTTTCTGTGGCTCATGAATTTGCCAATGTTGCAGTAAGTTTATTAAAAGCTGAATTAACTGGTGGTCTCCTGGTGGCATTTTCGTTGGCTCTTCATATATCTTTTCTAAATCATTTGCATCGTTGTCTGATAGTGCAGCAAGTCGCATCCTTTCTTAATTCAGTGCTGTTTGGTTAAACGGCTGATTTAGTGCACCTTTCAGATACTCGCATTTTGTTATAATATCCGGCACTTTTTTTAAACAAGTTGATACTGCTTTTCATAACTTCATCATTTCGAACTTGTTTGCAAGAAAGAATTGGTTAAACCATGATGACAAATCTGGTAACTCATTATTTTTACAGTTCCTAAATAAATTATTATATTACAATTAAGGAATATATATGATTCATTTTTAACAAATTTCTTTTTTTTTATTTAATTCTTTAAAAAACGAACAACTGCTCCAAACTCCATGTATCCATATTAAACAATCTGCTATTTTCATTTATTTAGCTTTATGCATTGAGTAATATGCTGTAATTTAAAAGGTTTTATTAGTATTTTAATATTAATTAGTTTAGACAACATAACTAGTAAACTTGCGAAAATACCAATTGTTTCGAGAAAAGCCGTTAATGTGTCTCCCGCACATTTCTACTAAAGTAACAATCATATAAATATTATATTTTTAAGTGAAAAAAGTTGTTGGTTTTCCAAATGATGGAAGGTGTCTCCATTATATTTAATGTTTTTAAAACATTGGTTAACACGTATTTTAAAATATAATCTGAAGTTTGCTTTCTTTCACATACAGATTTAATAGAAAGAAACTCGATAAAATAACTTCAGACGGATCCAACTTCTCAATGGCTAATATAAAGATAAAATATTAAAATTTTTGCATAATTCCAAGTTGCTAAATAACTTACCCTCCAAACGCAATTTCAATTTTTTTCACACAAACCAGTCCGAGATTTTAACAAAATAGAAAACTAAATATCTCAATTATAGTCCTAATGACGGTAATAGTAATATTGTCAAAGAATTGTCCGTTTTCTTTGTTTATATTAAAATAAACAAGGAAAAACCAACTCCTCGGAGAGACAGTCTGATTTTCAGAAATCAATTCAGCAAACTTGGACTCGAACGATTTCGCTAGTAAACTTGTTTTGACAAATTCTTTCCACTCTTCTTCGGAATGGAGCAACAGCATTATTTTTTGAAGGACTTAAAGACTTTGCTGCTGGACGGATTTTCGACAGGAGCTGCCTTCTTAAATGCATATCCATTCAAAAAAGGCAATATGAGTGGAACTATTTTAACATATCTACTCCGAAAATATGAAGCATAGCTTCTTTTTTGCTACATGTTCCTATGCTTTGATGCTTGTTCGCAACAGAAATATTACTTTAACTTCGGCCTTTTCATAATATTTTTGACTTTTCCCCTTTTTATATCGTCAAGCCCTTCCAAGAAAGTGCTCACGCCTTCTCACAAATGACTTACATCCTTGTTCTCAATCCTTTAAAAGCTGATTTGAGACAGGTTCAAAATTGTCGTCAGAAGCTTTCACCATTATTTCAGGTAAAGCTTTGATTTAGCCTTTTTGATGCAATTTTAGTATTTTATATATCTGATAAGCCATTTCTTGGACTCTGATTAATTTGTGAGTTCTTGTATTTTCGGCCGCCAAAATGTCCTCAAATATTGAAACTCAAATAATAAAATTATTAATTAGATTAATAATTGTAAAGTTAGAATGACCCGATAATATTTACACTTGATAATACGTCACCCAGTGTTGAAGCCAAAGTATCCACCACTCTTTTATCATGGGTATATGGACTATAGAAAAATAATAATAGCTTAATAAAGGATTCAATATAATTAATTGAGCGTGATTGTTTAGTTTTACAAAAGCTTCACGTAAACCAAAGGTTGAATATTTGGAAGTCATAAAACTTTACTTACACGAATTAACTTATTTCATTTTTGCATGTGCGCCTGGTTCTAACGCTAAAGAATTACTGCAGTACTTAGATGGTAGATCTCACATTTCTGACATTTCAGACCTATGCCATTTCCTTCCTTTCAATAATAATTATTTGTTCTAGACCACAGCCATAATTAATTGATCCTTTTAAGAAAGAATTAGATTCGATTTGCTTTTTTTGAATTTTGTAAACTGATCGTTGTAGTTTACTTCCTCAGGAAATTAAACGATATTTTTATTGCAATAAAATTATTGAATGAAGTAAGGTGACAGCGCGATAAAAAGTATTTAATAGCAAATAAAAAATTGAAAATACAAATTAAAAGAAAAAAAAAGGATTCCTAATTATTGAAGATTTTTTTAAGGAAATCCGTAATCTCTGTAATAAAAATTTAAAGGATATAATTAGACAATTTCTATTTGTACACGGTCATATGTGGCAATTTTGCAAAATAAATTCTTAAACGTACCTTCATAATATAGAATACGAAGTAATATCAATATCATTATTAACAGTACGGTATTAAATTTTTTTATCTTATTCGTTTCTAGCATTTCTGCTCTAATTTCACGCATAATTTCAGCTTCAAAACGTTTTGCAATCCTCTCGTTATTCATCTAAAAAAAAATGTAAGGTTAACAGTTGGTACATGTAAATATAACTTTATTCACGAAACGAGGATATTTACTTTGAAAAAAAGAATTATCAAAGAAAAAAAAAAATGTGTATATTCAAGATGGAAGTTTGTTCTGATTTATAGAATTAGTGTGATCAGATGATTGTCGATCAATTTTTGCACCAACAATGAAAAAGTTGATCATTTTATATTACTTTATCGTAATTATAATAGTTACCAATTTTTAAAACATACCGAAAAAAAAGAAATAGTAAATTTTGTTTATTTTGAAAAAAAATTAATAAAAAGAAACTTGTTCTTTCTTTAAGAAATCTTTTTTAAAAAATAATTTCAACTTTCTTTGTCATTCTATTCGTCGATAAATACCTTTTTGCTTTTATGAGGAAAGGCATAAAATTTTATCATAATTTTATTAAGATAAATATTTATGTAGCAGTTCTTGAATCATTTAAAATAAAAAGAATAAAATAATATAAAAAATTTTGAGTTGATATTGGAATAACTGCTGACATCTTGCTCCCAAGGTCATGAACCAGGT